GCGCCTTTTAGTACGGTGCGCCTTATGGTCGTGAAAATACGGTAATAGCGCAATCAAATAAATCTTTTTATGCTGGCCAGCCTCAGGGTGCATCGCTGCTCCCCTCAGGACACTGGCTTCTGACATTTCATTGTTTTTATGCATTTATTATGCATAAGTTAGGCTGTCGTTGGACATAAGTTCTAGACTTGTTATGAATATGCTATGTATATGCCCAAATTGAAAAAATACATAGAAAGTTCAGCATATGCCAGCATTTAAAGAGATTCTTGGACGTCTGGCATACGCTGGCTAAAGTGGCAAAGTGTGACAGGGCCCTCGGCGGCTTTAAAAGTAAGGTTACTGCTGTCTTTAAAATACTAAATACAACAAATCTACCATTTGTTCTACTCCCTTCAACATTTTTCAATAGAAATAACATCTTGATTTTTATTTATTTTAGGTTCTGGAGGGAAGGCCCATTTATGTGGATTGTTATGGAAACCTGGCTCCTTTGACCAAAACGGGGCAACAGTTGGTGCTCAACTTCTACGCCTTTAAGGAAAACCGTTTACCCTTCTGTGTTAAGGTACTCTCATATTAGTCATCATCTAATACCAGTGTGGAGGAGGAAGATTATACAGATACATTCATGCTCTGCATACTGATGCCATTTAAACTTTTTCACATTTTTCCACATTACAATTTCTACTTTTGTAATATCCTATAGAAAATGTTAATGGGCATTTCCAGTTTCCTTCCACCACCAGCTAATTCTGATACTTATTTCTGGTTGAATAAGGTCAGTCTTTATTTGCATTTGATAACAATGGCTCTAAAATGGGTCTAAAGTGGGTACATTCTCATTTAATTCTCATAAAAGACGAATAAAGTCCTCAACCTGGTACAATTTTAAACTGGGAGGATAATATGGTTAAATGGCCTAGTGTTGGGCTTAATATTTTCCATACGTTGTTTTAGACAGGAACCTTCAAGCTTACAAACTCATGCAAACTTTCAATTATTTTACTTCTTAGTAAAGGTACAAGAAAAAGGCAACTTATGATTAGTTGTTGATGAATAGTTTAATTGATTAAAAAAGTATTCCATTTGATTTTTGGTAATATTATAAAAAGAAATGTTTTCAGTGTTGTAATCGTACTATTGTACACTAGCTGGTGCCATTATTCATTCTTAAAACGAGCCAAAGTGGAATTTGTGAAAGAAGTAAGATGAAGCAGAGAGAGGCATGGAAAGCAGTAGGATGAATTGAGCCCAAGTCCAGTCTGAGATTATTTTACTCCATTTAATGATGGCAATGATGCAGAACTGACTTTCTGGTTCTGTTTGTATGTATAAGCGCTCCATAACGTTGTTAAATATATAAACCTAAATAGTGCCCCTTTAGCAGTGCTCCCTAAAGGAGCTGTGAAAATGTTGCAGTAGAAAAGTGGAGGACATTAAGCCAAAAAATAAAACATGATAAAAGAAGACAAGCTAGCAAAAATGTACTGTAGATTAGGAAGGCTTTTGTAAGTTAAAGCACTTCATAGAGATAAATTTTAACATTTCTCTGAGAGTGATCAGAGCAACCTGTTTAAAAACAGCACAAAGTGTCTCCCACCAGATTGTTGTATTACACCAAAACAGAGAACTTTAAGACAGTTATCGCCCATTTTAATGAAACAAAGTAGCAAATACTTTGACAGTATGTCAGAGCAACATAATGTTTTTAATTACAGTCATACATCGCTGTATATTGGAAATCATAAGTGTTTCACGATATCCAGTTTTTTCGACTACCTCTAAAAACAGCACCTGCTTTTAGGGTCTATATTTGATTCTCTGGCTCATCAATAAACAGGCCGGAGATCTTGTTTTGTTGTTGTTTTATTGTTTTATGGGGACAGCTTTTGCTTTGCTTGAAGTTTTCTCTGTAACACCAAACCAAAGCGCTGCAATAAAATATTTATCAAAAGACTAACCAACTGATACAGACCAAAGTAACTGAACTAAAGGTGTGAAAACACCCTTAAACGAGTTTTTCGTTTGGTAACCCTGCAGGACAATGACCCAAATAAAGTCCAAACTCAAATCTGACACCTTTTTTGTGTTTTGTACTTCTCCAGGTTATTTATTTAAACTAAAATGAAATTATGACACAGGTGTGAAAAAAACAAAAAACAAAACAAAGGACATCTTCAGAAAAAGGGAATCCTATTGGTATAATCAGAATCAGAAATACTTTTTTAATCCCAAAATGGAAATTACTTTTGTTACACGCTCCAGTTACAGTTTTATATAATATATATACAAACATCCAACTATACAATATAATAAAGATAAAAAAAATAAGAATAAAAAGAGATAAAAT